AGCACAACTGTGACAGCAGAAACGTCACCATCAGCATCGATAACATCGATCACAACCTCGTCGAGTACAGTAAGTGAAGCATCGACATCAACACTATCGTTTTCGCCCACCACACAATCGACAGGCCAAGCTTCCAGCAGCACAGTGGGCGGTAGCACAGCAACACCAGCTGTAACTAGCAGTACAAGTGTACCTGAAACTTCACAGTCAACATATAACGTAACTGACTCGTCAACTCTTTCAAATGCAATGCCTACAGGCTCAACAGGTCCTGTCACGTCATCAGAATCGGCAACAACAACCGGAAGATCAACTGCCAATCTTACATCGACGGAACCGAAAACAACTTCATCAGAGATAGGTAATTTTAGTCTAACACTTTTGAATATTATTGCGGCATTGTTGTATTACGATGTATTCACATGTGTTTATAATGGGTTGTTAATAATGTATGTTTCCGCTATTGTGTATTTGAATTGTTTTGAAGACGTTGTATCCTTTCATCGGTAAACTTTTTACGTCAATAAATATGAAGAATATATTTTATAATATATGGAGCGAAGTAAAGAGTAATAGCTGCCATTATTGATATCAATAATGAGCCTCTATAAATTGATATTCAATTTTTGATTGTTAACCTACCCAATACTATGTATTAAATAGATAAATCCAAATATACATTGAATTATGATGAGTTGGTTATTGATAAGTTACTATAGTTATAATATTGTTAATAAAGTACTGTGCTTTATATCTTTCAAATATTACAGTCGATTTCTAAACCTACATCTTGAATACAAAGTTTGATGTTGATTGACGCATGTATAGTTTTACTAAGTCAAGTAATTTTTATAGTTGAAGGTAAATGTATTTTTCTTCTTCTAATGTTAATGTATAATACAAATTGGACATTGCAGGTATAACAACTTCTGGATTAACACATTCCATATCTACCCCTACTGTAACATATACAACAAACGAAGGCACCACTTCATGGCATGGCATAAACTCAGGTAAGTTTATTGAAATATTACCGATGACAAAATTGTGTATTGTTTAAAAGCTGACAGTGCAAGTTAAAAAGCTTTCATTTGAGATTATTGTTGGTTTTTTTCAAAATATTTATTTCTTGTTTTGAGATCTTCCCCGTCTCTTCCGACTATAAGTTCTAAGGAAGAGACGACATTTTAGTTTGTCCTTGCTTGGTAACGAGTATGGGTCTCGCTGGGTATAACAAGTGCATTACCCGTCGAACCGGTTATCATTTGTTCAACGTGTGCGCAAGGCGACACTACTATACTATTGTATATATATATATATAACACTTTCACAATTTGTTATTGACATTTTGTATCAGATCAGTTGAATACAACTAAAATGGAACACATCAAAGTAAGCACTTGTCTGAGAAAAATAGTAAAATACGACCAATTAAAATATAATGCACAACCCTTGCATTTCGCACGTGTTTTGATAGTAATGCGTCTATACGACGAGGACTACGAGTTCATAATAAAGTTTTGTGTGATGGTGCAGTTCTATGCACGTGAAAGACCGATGATATATTTTCAGTAATATACCTTCTATTTTGGATACACAATTTTGGAGAATGTGCCATAAGTAACAAACAGCTTGTTTCAAAGTCTTCAGGTGAGTGCGTTTTGTTTTTGATAACGGTTGCCGATCAGGGTGCGCGGTGCATTGAATCGCAAGACAGTCAGTTATAGAATGATAACCGGCTTGATAGGTAATGCGTTTTTCATAGCCAGCGAGACCCATACTTGTTACCAAGCAAGGACAAACTAAAATGTCGGCACTTCCTTAGAAACTATAGCCGGAAGAGATGTGGAAGATATCAAAACCAGAAAAAAAGATATTTTTTTTTTTAACTTGCACTATCAGCTTTAAGTTATACTGATCCCTCCGTCAGCGCAAAGGAAAATTATATTATTGAAATCCCTGATCGACCAATGGCTGGTTATTATAACAAAATTCGAGTATAGGATTTTGTTTTTGATACACTTCAGACCAGCAGTCAGTTTTCGTGACAGGTATCCTACCGATGCTGCATTTATTATTTCCACACCATATCACACCTTCATCCCGAAATTTGCCCGTTTGCTATCATGAGCTCATCACGAAAGAACCAATGCAGAACCAAGAGCACTGGAAAGTGCAAAAAGCAATTACTGCAGACTAAACAACATCAGCGAAAATACTATTTAAAGCTATCTGATATTGTTTGAAATATATAAAACACATATTTATTTAACAGATACTCTATTTCAAAACGAAAAATTCAAAAGTAAGGATTTTGTAAATAAGATTGTCTTGCAGATTTATCTTGGGTAAGTGTTCATAAAACTCATTTCAAATTAAATGCCATTTAGAAACATCGACTACTAGTAACACAACGCCGACCACAGAAAGAACAGTTGAAACCAATACTGGCACTGTGTCCAATTCCGTGTCAAGCACGACTGTAACAGAAAAAACATCACCATCAGCATCAATGACACCAACCGAAATCTCGTCCAGTACAGCAAGTGAAGCATCGACGTCAACACTTTCGTCTTCGCCCACCACCGAATCGACAGACCAAGCGTCAAGCAGTACCATGAGCGAGGGCACAACTGCCTCTACTGCAACAAAAAGCACAAGTGAACAGCTAACCACACAGTCAACAGCTCAAGCAATTGATTCGTCGACGTTTACTAGTCAACCGACTACAAGTTC